TCAGCAGCTCCAGACAGACCGCATGCAGTAAAAAAAAACCATAAAAACTACCTGAAAGGAGGAGAGGATGGTTGTCACTTCCAAGTTTTAACTTAGCAGACCTACTACCAAAGAGCCTGAAGGAAATGTGGAGACAAATGAGGAATTATTGTCTATTTTGTTCAAGCGAGATCAATATTTTTGTCACTATTGGATATAAATAAATATTTAATATTTATTCAGCAGTAAAATATTCAAGTGACTCGCTCGACCTCATGTCAACCATTGCTGAATTTTGTATATATTTAGCAGTGGAACTTGTATAAAAATCCCAAGTGCATTCATGTCTTATGATCAGGTTTCTTCCACACTACTTTGAAAACCAATCGAAACGCTTGCATTCATACTGTTGTCATGGTTGTATGAGAACAGTATTCCACGTCATCATGCAGTTTTCAGTATTTTTAAATAGTTCTGGACCATTATTTTGTTTGGTAAAGCTATGCAGACACTGATGGAGAAGTCAGTGTCTTTATTAGGACTTATCGTTTTCATAATCGTTTGGAGTGAGATAGATTAGACACCCTCATTTAGTTCCCTTTAAAAATGTCCTGTCTTGATACTACGAGACAAAAATGCTGCGGTGAAAGCCGAAGCTACAAAAGCACTCACTTTTCTTCCCTTTAAATTACACCTCTGAGCAAAAAGGGAAGAAACGTTGTTGAATGTGAATCTTTCATTTTGATAAAAATGTTTCATAATGTGCCTTTTAAATTATGCTATTTATGTATTTATTAAGAAACCTTACAGCAATAAACCCTTTACTTGTTTCCGTATGTTAGTACAAAGCCTACTGTGGAAAATGTCCACATGTGCTGCTGCATTTCTCTTGATCAAGAGCACGTGATGGATATTTGAACTTGGCTTGACGAAGAAGCGCTGTGCTCTGTATAAAGAACAAAATATGAGTGGAAAGGTAGCAATAAGTCCAAAGCTTTTTCTATTTTTCTGTAGATTAAATGTTGTCGTCTCTAATAGATTCTTAACTCTTTAATGTCGCTTTTTATACTTGACCATTTGATAAAGGACAGCGTGACGGCTGTTGGCTTTTTAAATTTATCACATTTCATGTCTTTTGACGTTAAATGTTTTCTAATGCAGGGGCGTCGCCTGTTTCACCTTGTAATGCATGACTCAAAAGAATGCAGATATTTAATTTGCGAAATAAAAGGAAACTTACCTTCAGCTTCTTTATGTGTATGTTTTGTCATGTCTGTTTGGTACACAGCTTTTTATTTTTCTGATGAAAATGTGTCATAAAACAAGTAATTCTTGTCAGTCAGTATTTGGATATATACACAGACATCCATGGTGCATCTATATATATGTTATCTCTCACACAGCCCCATACCATCACACTTCCACCTCTGTGCTTCACTGTCAGGACTCTCCATTCACTGTGGTGGTCCTGCAGAGTCACACCAAACATGCAAATTCATCTTGGTCTCATCTGACCAAACAATGTGCTTCTAATATTCGTCAGGACTCTTTGTTCTTTAGCAACTTGTAGTTTTGTACCAAAGAGCAAGCAAGGCTGCTTTTCTATGGATCACATAGAGCAGGGGTGTCCAATCCTGGTCCTGGAGGGCCACAATCCTGCATGTTTTAGATGTTTCTCTCTTCCAACACACCTGATCAGCTCATCATCAAGCTCTGCAGAAGCCTGAGAACGATCCTGATCATTTGAATCAGGTGTGTTGGAAGAGAGAAACATCTAAAACATGCAGGATTGTGGCCCTCGAGGACCAGGACTGCCCACCCCTGACATAGAGGATGATGCTGTGTTTGTATACTGTTCTTCACACTGTCTGAGCTAAAGCAAAGACTTTTTCCAGTGATGAACACCATGTCAAGCCTGAAGCATATCTGTCACAGTCCATGGTATCATTTTAGAAAGACGCCCACTGCAGCGCTGATTAGTGGTACTATGGCGCCTTGTATCCTCCTGCAACTGTGTTTCTGCTGATTTTTCTTTGGTCACTACTCTTCCTGTATCATTTTCCATCTTTTTAAGGCCTTACGATAACGTTTTTCAGTTTCTTTGACAATTCTTGTTAATGTGGCGCCATGATGTAAACGTGCACATCGACACAGCACAGTGACAGTCACATCATCTCTCAACCTCATAGCAAGAAATATTCTAGTTTTTTTGTTTTTTTTTATAGCAACTCAAGTTTCAAAATACACATCCAAGCACGACAGATGCTGTTTACGTTATAAATCAACGTAGACGTTTATGTAACATGAGTCCCTCCTTCCACGTTACACAACCATAAGTTGAAAGAGGTTGTTGACAAGTTTCTGTCATGCTGACCCACTGAAATAACCAAAAGCCCCTGAAACAGCTTTAGTATTTTGTTTGTTGTTGCTAAATCCTGATATCATTTCCATCCATACACTTGGCTGTCTTATGACTGCGCAAACCAAAACAAGTTAAATATATATGATATAAATCCCTCCATTTGACCTCTGGTTTTTAAAGCCTCTACAATCCATTCCCTTCTTAGCTTATCTGTTAAAAAAAACTTCATTACAAACCCAGTATTTTTCTGTATAGCTCTGATAAACGTTGTGAGGTGGCCTACAGTACAATGAGGAACCTATAGGCAGGATCAGGTATAACAAGACTGTTTGCTCCAGTGAAATAGATATGTGAGTCTCCCCATTTGCCCTTTTGGTTTTTTTCAGCAACGCTGCAGGATCCTGACATCTGCTGGTTAATGCAGGTTACTCCTTCTTGTCAAGCTTCAACCAGTTAAAACACTCTGAGCTCTGTGCTTATGGCTCAATAATGGCACATTAACTTAATAAAACATGACTGTAGAAGTTGTTTTTTTTTTTTTCTTAAATATTGAGCTTTTTATATACATTAAAAACCCTTACGTCTATATGGAATAACCCAGAGGTCCTTAAAGGTATCGTTCGCAGGGAGGTGGTGTCAGCATGAATAATAGAGACGCAACATTTAAGACACACCAGGAGCTGCACTGTAAAAAGTTCTTAATAGGTTTTAATGTAGTTTTTTTTTTTTTTTGATAAATTTTAAGTTATTTTACAAAATGACAGACAATAACTAGTGTAATCAACAGGGAAAAAAAGACATTTGATGGCAAAATTACACTATTGTTTACTGTCTGTAAATAAACTTTTTTTTGCATATATTTGCTGTAATTTTAAAGACAGATTTTGTATATTAGGATTCGAAATATTGTAAATATTTTCAAACTGTTATTTTACAGATGTTTACTGGTTTGGTAGGTCACAGAGAGTGGATATTAGTACAGACACAGAAAAAAATACATTATTTACATGTTGACTGTAAAAACAAATGTCAAAACTGTGCAAGACGGTCACATCAAAAATCTGTAATTTACAAATAGTACGTTGTTCTTTTACAGTGTGTGACCACAACATGACACAGTTTTACTTTATTTAGATTACATGAAGAAAAAATAACTACTTTTTTTTTTTTTTTTTAAACAGCTATTTACTGCTATTTTCACTGTTTTTTACAGTTTTTGAGTTTTACAGTATTCCACAGTTTTTAACTTGTTTTTTCTGGCACTTTAACAAACAGATTTTTAAAATGCATTTATTTTCTTATATCTGTTGAAGCTTAAAGGATCAGTACAGGTAGTATGCGCACACTAACATGTACAGAACATCTTAGATTTACCACACATAATGCACAGTGCCTCAGTGTTCTAGAAAAAACATCGTCAGCGCATACACAGAGAAGTGTGAGAACCTCTGGAAAAGAGATTTAGACACGATATTAGGGAGGAGGCAGGATATAATACCTAATATTGGATGGGCCACAAGAGACAATAACCACCACAAAATTACACACAAATACTATTATACTCCTCTGTAATTATTTAGGGTGGGCCGGATGTGAGATCAAAAGAAATGCAAGGAGGCAAATGCCACATTTTTACACGTCATATGGTAACGTTCTGCAGTTTTGCCCTTTTGAAAGAAGATGCTGGCAAAACACAAGGTCCTGATTTGGTCCCTCTGCCTGCTATATTATTATGTATGACTTCATTGGGCTGTTAATAGTGAAGCATCAGTTTGTCAGCAGCATATTACTGTTGGAACAGCTGCAGGTTTAAACCGTTTGATATAATTAATATACAGTTTCATATTTAGGGACAGCGGATAAACCTGAGCACTCCAAACATGTTTGATGGAACAGGGAAGGAGAAAAAACTATGTTCTGTTACATAAAGCTGTTTCCTGTCTGATTTTTGGTGAGATATTGGATCATTTGAGCATTTATGTGGTGGAGCCAGCCAATTACTTTAGGTCAAATAGATTTTTTTGTTTTTTTTTATCTCACACTCTTATCATTTACTTATGCAATAATCAAGACTTGGCATCTGGAGGTTCAACTAAAAGCTAAAACCGATGACAACATGTGAGAATTATTTATTTACATGTAAAAAAAGCATGTGTCTGGGAAGACCGTGTCACTGATTCACCTTCACTTTTCTGTTTTTTTTAACTTTCGATTTTACTGACGCATTTCGGGCGGAGCAAACACTATCTGAAAAATCAAAGGCAGGAGTGGCGCGTTCAGTGCACGGCCAAGATATCGAATTTTCTCATTTTTAATATCTTAGCTCTTTTCAGAAGCGTTACCGAGAACACTTATGTGGAAAATTCAACTAGTAGAGTCAACGAAAACTTTATTTTCTAATATTCTGGAAGTGGCTGGGAATTCAGCAAATGTGGTGGTATGTTGAAGAAATTTCGCCGTTACGCGTAATTAAACCAAAAAAAAACACTGTGGATATAAAGCTTTATTTTTTAACACTGTGTTTTGGAACTGACATGTGTAATTTATAATCTCACATTATAAACAGAGAGCTGTTTGAAGAATTTAACGCTCCCAACCTGCTTCAGAAGTGGGACTCAAACGCATCTCACTGAGCTATTGCACGGTCCTTAAACGCATCACATTCCGCTTCGTGGGGACCGTGGGAGAGCAGTTTCCTGGCAGCCAGAGTGCCTTAAAAAATCACGGAAACTGCGGTAGAAAAATCCACAAATAATTCAAGAGAAATTCAACTGGGATTCCAAATTAACGTGAGTAGTATTTAAAGACTGCCGTCGTGCGAACTTTATTCATTTTTTGCAGCCTTTCGTTAGTTTTTCCTCCCTTGTGGACAAACATGGCCATATTATGCTGTGAAATTTGACCAGAAACAAAAAACAACGCTTTAACTCGGTCTTTGTGAGAATGTTAGATACATTCATTTGCGTTGCCTTAGCTCAGGTAGCTTGTGGGGTGTTCAATGTGTGGGCTAAAAGGTCGTTTGATGACTGAAAGTGACAATTGTGGCCTAAATTTCGAGTCTCGAGGGAAACGCGTTGGTTTTGTAAATGCGGCTAATTGACATCAAACGTGAAACCCGAGCCGTTAGTGAGGCTTTCAAATGCTTCGGTTGGAGAAACCCAGACGGTCTGTAAAATGCATATAAATAGCGGTTTTAATTAAACAATTGTAATTATCTGTTACGATGTCCACGCGGAAGTCGCCGTGGTCACGTGACTTCTCCGGCCGTTTTGACGTAACGCGGCGTCAACTGTCAGCATCCTTGTTTATTTCTGCACGATAACACTCTTCCTTTGTGGATTTTGTGCTACCCAGACTTATTCCAGACTTGCATCCTTCTTGCCTCTGCGGCAGAGATGACCACCGAGAAGACCGAGTACACCCCCGTGGAGGTTGGAGCCCCTCAGACACCTCCCCCTGGGTATCCAGGCTTCCCTGTCGGGTTCGGCATGCCGCCCATGCCCGGCCCAAACATGGTCTCCGGGCCTGCACCCGGCGGTCTGCCCTTCCCTCCACCCACTGCCTTTGCACCGGGGGTTCCTGGAGCTTTTGGCATGGCCAATAACCCCCATGGAGGCTCAGGATACACCAACCCCTGCTCTCCATATTCCCAACCAGGCCCAGGATTTGATGGAAATTTAAATGGTTAGTATTTCTAATTGTACTTCAAAATATTGGAATAATAATAAATTTTAAAAAAAAAAAACCTTACAGATTTTGAAATGTGTAAAAATGCAGGAATTTGCACCAGATGGCTCTATTTGGGAGACTGAGTCAATCTAGAATGACTGGGGTGATTGTGTAGGAGGGTGCATCTGGATAAAAAAAAAAAAAAAAAATAAAGAAATGAAAAAGAAGCTATAAAAAGCCCTTTGTAAGCTTTCTTATTTGGTGTAACACTGGCAAAGGCATTCAAAATATATATATTTTTGCTTTGGATGACATTCAAATCTGGCTCAGATGAATTAGCTGTTGCCTCAGTGATGGCAACAATTACAAGACACCGCCATCAGAATACCTATTTTCCATCAACATCATCCTTACTGTAGCCAAAATATAAGGCAAATGAACTCTTTGCACATCTATTTCATGAGACCGGTGCGTAGGAGATTGCCTGGTGAAGGACTTGCACCAAAACAATGTGAATAATTGTGTTTTCGTGAGTTACACTGGGTGCAGAAGTTGATTTGAAACCTTTATAGCTAAAATATATGTTGCTGTGCACATGTGGAGCCTGCGTGTCCATGAACTCTTTGTCTTGTAAATAAAGTTTAGAAAAAATTTTGTTTATGCAAAAAGTCCTTGAATCTGAGTAAATTATTTATAGTCATAGTTTACAGTTCTGTCAGACAGACGTATCTTCTACATTAGTCATGGAAAATGAGAACTGTAGGCGTTTACTTTTTGTGTCCAGCAGCAAAAAAGAAAGTTGTTGCATAATGTGTTTCTTCTGAACATATCGCAATGTCAATGCTGAAATAGTATATTGTGCAGCCCTAATTTCTAGCATGTTTTTTCAGTGTGGAACTATATTCGTTGTGCAATTTACTCAGTTGGGTGTTTCTGGTTTGTGCGCCCTCAGATGATGTCTACGTTAACGAGGAGGATCCGCCGGCCTTCCACGAGAATCAGGACTTTGATTTTGGATTGGATAACAAAAGCATAAGAAGAGCCTTTATCCGAAAAGTAAGAAGACACTTGATTGAGGAAAAGTTCAAATGAATACTGCTGAATGTATAAATGTATTATAGATAGTGTTGGCAATCAGAGAACCATAAGTGGACCTTTTAAGCAATCTACGTTGCTGAACCCAAATCCAAATCCAACTGGTGGGTTTCAAAGGGATGTTATCTTTTTTAAATTACCAAATTGAGTTGATTTATCAGAGCCACCAAAAAACTCTGCGACTGTTCTTGAACTAGTCATCTGTGATGCGCTCTTCATCCATCCCATCCATCCATTATCTATACACCGCTTAATCCTAGACTGATAGATTTATCCCTGCTGCAACTAAATTAGATTAGATTCAGCTTTGTTGTCACTGCACAGAGTACAAGTACTAAGACAACGAAATGCAGTTTAACATCAAAGCAGCAGTAAAGCACGTTATTTACAGTATGGTATGTACAGTATGCTACAGTATAAACAGAATGAATAGAACACATGAATATATAGATATGGATACAATAGCCATCAGTCCATTATGTATACACACCTTAATCCTCACTAGGGTCGTGGGGGGCTGGAGTCTATCCCAGCTGACTCAGGGTGAAGGCAGGGGACACCCTGGACAGGTCGCCAGTCTATTACAGGGCTACACTTAGAGACAGACAACCAAGCACACTCACATTCACACCTACAGACAATTTAGAATCACCAATTAACCTCAACATGTTTTTGGATTTTTTTCCCCGGAATTATTAAAAACAAAGGCCTAAACTTTTCAGGTTATTTCTCAACATGACACAGAATCCCTCATACTGGACATGCAGATCAAATAGTCTCTAACTATGGGTGAACTCCATCCATCCACAATTTAGAATCACCAATTAACCTCAACATGTTTTTGGACTGTGTGGGAGGAAGCCGGAGAACCCGTAGAGAACCCACGCTGCACGGGGAGAACATGCAAACTCCACGCAGAAAGGTCCCGGGTGTTCTCACCGGGACGCGAACCGGTGACCTTCTTGCTGCGAGGCAGCGGTGCTAACCCCTGATCCACTTTGCAGCGCTATTCAGTCATTTTCGAAATCATTTTCCATCAAATCCACTTTATTCTGTGCCTCATTTCAAAAAATGCCAAAAATTGAACCATTTGCTCTTTGCACTTGGAATTTTTGTAAAATTGATAAATAATGAAATATAACTTTTCTTTTGTATAATTTATGGCATTATAAGTGTGTCATACTGCACAGAAAAACTATTTGAGTGCTCTGTACTTCTAGCCACAGTTGTGCTGTTTCCATAGAGGTGGAGGACTTTACAAAAGAAAAAAAAAAAAAAAACACTGATTAAAAATGTGACAGGAATAAATAAATGCCAAGAAGCTTCTTTTCATTCAAGCAGAAATGTATTCATACACTCCTGACCCTGGCTGTACTATCCTCCAAATTAAATTGAAATCAAGTTCTGAAAACAAGACTAACAAAACCTACAAATAACAAATCATGATGGAGCTAAGATACAGACATTCATAAGTGTCATCTGTGCCTACCACCTAATATTATTCTGCCTTTCCCTCCAGGTGTTCTTGGTGCTAACTGCTCAGCTGATGGTGACGTTCGCCTTCGTGGCCGTCTTCACCTTCGTGGATGAAGTCAAGAGTTTTGTCATAGTGAACACCTGGACCTATCTGGTGTCCTACGCCGTGTTCTTTGTGTCCGTCTGCGTGATCAGCTGCTGTGGAAGCGTTCGCCGGAGACACCCTTGGAACCTGATTGCGCTGGTAAGCCCGCTCAGCTGTTTTTTTTCTTTTCTTCAAACTAGGAAACGAAGGAAGGGGAGGGGAGTCGCAGCTCAGGAAGTCCAGTGGTATTTTATCCCCATTATTGAACTATTGCCATGTTGGCCTTTGTGTTTACAAATCAGTGTCCTCTTGGGGAGGGGGGGAAAGAAGCAGTTTCCGTTTTCTGTTATCCTTTGTATTGGATACACAGCTTCATATTCTGACGTGGTTTAAAAGAAGCTCAGGATGCTTCTGTGCTGAGAAGAGCTACCACTCATATGTAGTAGTTGAGAAGCTGACTGTTGCAGTAAGAGACTTTCTATAATGACGCAAGCCTCACTAATCACTGTTGTAAATACAAAATGATTTCCTATTTCTTATGTCCCATTCACATTGGACTAGTGTTATTTGAGGACATCTAGTAATTTGTAATAATCAGCGATCATCTGTGATCTTAATTACATGCAAATCTGCCATGTGTCTAAATGTAAAGTAAAAATTGAGAGTCACCAAACACAGAGATTCTTTTATAGTATTAGTTTTGTAAATTGGTGTCTTGGTGATTTGAGGTGGAGTTTTTAAGTATTTTTTCAGGCAAAGTTTTTTTCTTTTTCGTGGCACTTTTCGTCTCTCTTCCCACTTGGGAATTAGCAGAGCTGCACTGGCTGTTATAAATGAAAGTTTGAAACATTTCAGATGCAAATTCAGGAGGCTCATTTCACAACACAGCATAGAGACGGATTTACCAAAAGAGTGAACTCGAATACATAAAACGAGATCTCGAAGGATTCTTACATGGATGGATATGGATGACGTCATTAGGAAAGAACGCTTTTCTGTCTTTTAGCAGGCTCAACAGTCGTTAGACGGCAGCCTAATAATGTCATATTCACAAATAAGGTCAATAAATTTGTGTACAACCCAGACTGCAAAAACACAGACATGTGGTTGTATTTTCTAAATCACATCAGGTACCCAGGTAATACTAATCCAACCCATAAAACTTTTCTTGACTCAAACATGTGCAGCAGTGCTGATGAAGCGTATTTGTCTTTCTTGTTTCAGTCCATCTTGACGCTCAGCATGTCCTACATGGTGGGAATGATCGCCAGTTTCCACGACACTGAGTCTGTGGTCATGGCTGTGGGAATCACAGCGTTTGTGTGCTTCACAGTGGTCCTCTTCTCTCTGCAGGTTTGTAATTGACCTACATGTATGCATCTATGTGCGTCACGTACATCACTGAACACACTTTGATGTGGAGGTAACCACCTTTGTTTTCCTCCCACAGACCAAGTACGACTTTACTTCCTGCTATGGTGTGCTGTTCGTCTGTTTGATCGTCCTGATTGTCTTTGGGATCCTCTGCATCTTCATCCGTGACAGGATTCTGCACATTGTGTATGCCGGACTGGGAGCATTACTCTTCACCTGTGTAAGTCCCGAGACAGTTCCCTACTGCAGTTACCTCTTGGCACTGTTTTGTGGCATTCAGTAACCCCTAAGTAAGTTCAGGTTTCAAACTAACAAGTCTGAAGTCTGAATGGCAGTAAAAAAAACAAAAAAATAAAACAGTTGCATAAACCAGCTACAAATTCTACCAACTGACCTTTTACATTTATATGTTCATCATTATTTAAATAAACGTTAGAAGGACAGTGACCGATATATTTTAAACCCTGAAATGAAATTAAATGAAAAATACTTTATTTATCCCAGAAGGGAAATTCAATATGCATTAAAAGGAACCTTCAGGTTTATTTGTTTGTCCATTTCCTCCAAATCTGTTTTACAAAAGGCCTTCTCAGGGCAGTGAAACAGGAAAAAAACATCAAGGCATATAATCACATAAAAAGGAGAGAGATACAAACATTATAATCACAGTTTTTGGACATTTGAATTTCCTGTGACAGCACTGAAACTTCAATTTAAACTATTCAAATGCAATGTGAATATGTAACAAAACTGCTGTTTTTTTTTTTTATCATTTGAAGAATATACAAAAAGAGTAAGGCTTCTTGTCTTGTGCAGACAAACCTGTACATGTTTTTATTATTATTATTATTATTGTTTTTTGTCAGTTGTAAAAGTTGAAATGCCCTTCAGTCCACAGCTAGTCCAAAATCTCACTGCCACAGTCCTAACAAGAAAGAACCCTTTGGATCAGATCACTTCCGTAGCCACATTCCTGCACTGGCTATCAGTTAGTTACAGCATCGCATTATGTCTTGTCTATAAAACCGTGGTGCTCAACAACGCCTCCCAGCTGACGTTCATAATGTGAACCCACTGAAACTCCTTGGTCTTCTGACTCTGTAAAAACAAAACTTGCTGAAACCGCTTCCGCTTTTTTTGTGTTTGCAGCTACTGAAACATGTTGCCAACGTTGTATTAGATGTGCTGGAACTTGCTTGTCCACATTCTTATGTATTTTCTGCTTGTGTAAATGTTGTTTTTGTATTTAATGTGACATTTAATCAGAGGAGTGTACTGTGAAGCAGGTTTGTCACGGCCAGGCTGTCTTTGTGTTGGCTGACTTAACAAGACCTAAACCCCCAATCAGAGATGGTTTATGTCAGGGCAGTGGTTCGAGACTTTCTTTGTAAACACTCCCTTAAAAAGAGGCGTTGTGTGATGCCTGCTTCGTTCAAGAGCAACCTGTTGTAATTGCTCTTCACTTTAGAACTCTGAAACTCTTAACTTTGAACTGCACAAGGTCTGATGCTGTCCCGTAATGAAGGATACGTGGAAATCACTTCCGTTTTTGGCCAAATCAAAGTGAAATTATTGTTTTTATTTGAATTTTCTCTGATTTCTCACCACCTTCGTAGTCTGTCTTCCATTAGCTGCAGTACCAGCAGAATAAAATGGACTTGGCAGCAAATCAATACCAAGCATAGACACGTGCTTATGCATTTGTTGATTACCGTTGCAGTGCTTTCAGTTGGTGTTACTGTAAGTGCGTGGCTTCATATAGCAGTATTATTAATGTACGGTTTAAAAGGGTGCAGATAAAACCTCAGCTGAGAGTCTGTGTCGCTCATAGAGAACAATCAAGAAAAGGATTTGTGCAAGGAAGACGCTTATTCAAGCTAATTTAAATCTTTGAACAGAACCATGTTAGCTGTGCAGCATCAGTTACTATGGTGATCTAGCAGGTTAAACAGAGCCACCTTCACGATATTGGAAAGTCTGACTTTAGGCTATCTTGCTAACTTATTATCCCGCTTTGTAGTACCCCACCTTTGCTCTTGAATTAAACGTGCAATTTTGATTTCAATCGCTGTCATTTCAGCTTCTACCTGAGAAATACCTGTGAAAACTTTCGACTGTGAGATCTGGATTGAATCGAGCAATGTTGTTCTCGCAGAGACACATTATTACTGTTTTTAAAATGCACTGTTTAATTGGCATGAGTGCGTCATGTTTATTTTGATTCTTCGCTGCTGTATTGTGATGTACGCAGAAAAATTAGAGACTAGTATCGAAGCTCTCTGGATAGCCAGATACTCGTAAATGTTAGAAAATGCATCTTATTGTAATTTCGTTGACCTACCTTTTAAAGTTGATCTATAGAGAGCCATTCATATTTTTTTTTTAATTTTTCTACTGATATTCCTTTAATGTATGCACTATCCCCTTTGCTGCTGTACCAGTGCAAATTTCCCCACTGTGATCATAGCATATCATGATGTACCTCATTATTAGCAGCCAGACGTTGACTGATTTTCTATACTTGACCGCTGTGAATTTCTCTCTGTGTTACAGTTCCTGGCGGTTGACACACAGCTGCTGCTTGGCAACAAAGAACTGGCCCTGAGTCCAGAGGAATACGTCTTCGCCGCTCTTAACCTGTACACGGACATCATCAACGTCTTCCTGTATATTCTCGCCATCATCGGAAGAGCAAGGGGAGGCTGAGCAGGAAGACCGGCGCATGACGATCCATACAAAAAATTAAAATGTGTTTTCAGATCACGTGTAGAAGTGAGTTCCCATAATCACAATGTTTGATTTGCTTTGTAGTGTGTATTCACCACATAGGTAAGGACTGCTTTTGCTTTATCCTGTGTAAATGCTATTTTTTTATGATCCTTTAAGTAGATGGGGCAATGGAAGTTACAGTTTGTGAAGCTATTTATGAGGTGTATGACCTGTTATGAAACTGTATTTGGTTTAGAAAATTGTATCCTATGCCATGCAAAATCATTGAACATGGCAGGTTTTTCTCAGGGTTTTCAGCTTCCTCTCAGTCTTCATCAGAAGAAGTTTGCTCAGTAGAAGTGGGGATACATTTGTTGGCATTATAGCACACAAGACTTCTTGTCTGTGTTGGATTCTTTAACCAGATGAAGACTGTGTGAAGCTGTAAAAACCCTGAAAAAAGCTACTCAGTGGACCTTGGGACTGTTTTGTCAAGCTAAACTCTATTTCCAGGGTCCAGAGTGGACTTTGATGCTTGACAAATAAACCAGCAGGGATGAAAAGGGCTAAAAAAAGAAAAAAAAAATAGTGCAGTGGATGATGAACTTAAATATCAACTGACCTGTCTCCACGACAACCAAGCAAGCTTCATCCACTGCTTAAAAATGTAAAAAGTTGTTACAAAGTGGACCTTGTGTTTCTTCTTCTTCTTCTTCTTCTTTTTGTCAAACTTCTCTTTCTACACTTAATTAACTTTCATGCTTTCAAGTATTGAAACTTTTTTAAACCTGACGTCTGTTCTTTGTATTTCAGTAAAAGAATCCTGACAAAATCACACCCCGGCAGCGGAGTGTTCTGTTCTGTTGTCCATTGATTTGATATGATTCGATTTTGTTAGTGTCCAAAACATTTTCGCTGTTTGTGGTTCATCTGTGAAACTCGAAGCCTCAGGATGGATCTGGAGCAAACCTGTGCAGCGTTGCACTTAAAAAGCGATCAGCTCAGGCAGGAATTTGATGAGCTGAAGTCATGGCTGAGTGTGGTGAAGGAAAACATGGACCTGAGAGACAAGATGCAGAGCTCCAACGGTGACACTCTGGTGACAATGACAGGTATCGTGCTTTTCTTTGCCACTAGATGGCAGCAATAGTTTGTTGTAAATATGTCAGTGTGGCTGCTCAGAACTACAGTTAGCTTTAAAACAGAGCAAAAAATATATTTGTGTATCTTTAAGAGCACATGTCAATGTTGAGGTGTTTTAAGTCAAAGAAATGTTTTGCATTTCTTCGCCCAAGTCGTATAGTAAATAGTAAGCACATACAAATTCAATTTTGCACCGTTAAGTGTTAAACTTCTTAATGGTTGTAACTTTAAATGTAGGTCCAGCATTTTATAGTAACACTTGACAAGAAAAAAAAACGGACTCAAGTTGTAACCAAGAAAACTATGTTCTATTTACAAGCTAACATTCTAATCTTTTTATGTTAGCAATAAAAAAAAAAGATGTAATTTATAGAGTTTTCAAAACCAAGATTATGAAGAGTCTCGTGCAAGGCAGTGCACTCAGCGAATAATAAAGTCAAATTCAAATTCAACTTAAAAAGAGCATTCGATCAGAATAAAATATATTAACCAAAAGTACTGAAAAGGTTCAGATTTTCATTCAGGAGTCTGGAAAAATAATAATTATAACTCTGCTCAGTCATCTCAAGGTACGTCCAGGCTTGTACGGGAAGTTAAAGATCGAAAGTGTAGTGAGAACCCAGGGCATTTTGTTTAGAAACGTGGATGTTAAACACTGAAATTCCTGCATGCTGGGGAATTTTAATGCATCAGTTTATGATGGAAATGTCTTCATTTATGTAAAAGAAAGCATGCGTGACAACAAACATGGAATATAGTGCAATGAGGCTCTCATACATTCTGTAATACTTTCAAATATTAAACCTATTCAGGACTTTTGGGGTCTTTTGGCCCCCAGGCCATTTGGTTTAGGTGACAGGTGTTTTGTTTTTTTAAAAAAAATTTTATTTCTTTTTAAATATAAAAAGAGGGACGTTTGTCACGCACCAAAAATACATCAACTTATCAGAAAATGTATTAAACATAGTATAAAAGTCTGTAATGAATATCAACAAATATTTTGCACATATTCTTTCTTGTGGTCTAATGGACCCTGAAAGACCTTCTGCGTACGGCAACATGAAAGTCCTGAATAGAGTTAAACTCTTGTAGAACAACTGTTTTCATGTAATATCATCTCTGCTGAGTCAACACACAAGGCGCTATCTCTATTTTAGTTCTATATCTATAACATAATGATAAACAGGACATTTTCCTGTATTTTAGTTGCACATTTATAATAAAAAAAGGTGGACACTGTGTTTTAATGGTAAAACTATAGTACAAAACAATAGATTTCTATATTTTGCAAATGTGGTGTAACCACAGTAGAAATAACATTTCCTTTTATTTAACGGTAACTCTATAGTTAAAAACATGGACATTTTCAAACTTAACTGCATATCTATAGTGAAAAATATAATTTAATGATATGTCTACAACATAAAAACTACAAATGTTACGTATTCCCTCATTCCTCGTTTCCTTATTTTGTCCTGTAACTAAAATCAGTATCATTTTCTGTTATGATTCATGTACTGAGTTTTAAAAAAAAAAGAAATAATTTAAATCTCCTGCCAATTTTTTTTATTATTTTTATTTATTTATTTTTTTTAAAGAAATTTGACTGTTATATCTTTAAAACATGTTAATACACACATATTTCTCAGAGTGTTTGGTCTGTGTGTGTTTAAAGTATCTGCTCGACTTTACATTCATTAACAATTTTGTCTTTACCTGTTTGCTCAGCCTCAGAAGCGAAGTCGTTCAATGAGTGGCAAAACGAAAGACAGTTCAGGAGCGAGGTGCAGCAAACCACAGCCAGACAAGAGCAACGCACCTCGTCTCCCATCGACTTCAAGTCTTTCATCCAAAGCTCCATGCACACGGACACAAATGAGAAAGTGGAGCTTCAGAGCTGCCAGCCTGAGTTTCCTCTTGAAGTCAAAGGTGAGTGTTACCTGACAGGCAGAAATGATAAAGCAGCCCTTTAAGGGTTCTTTTTTTTTTTTGGTTTGTTTTTGGCTTTAATTCTGATGATTTAATGGCAGGTCCAGACAGGCTATTCGGAGAGATTTCCTACCAGCTGGACATGAGGATTATGTCCTACGTCTTCCAGGGCCAAAAGAGGTTCTATGGTTTCACAGTGCTCAACATAGCAGAGAAAATCATCGAGGTGAGGAATCTCCCAGTGATCGTTATTTATTCACAGACTTCTATTCCGTCATCACTGAGCTGACTTCCCTTTTGATTTAGCAGTGCACACATAAGAGCTCACCTCATTTAGAAACTCAACACTGACAGTAAAATTCCCCTTCAAAGACACAGAAGGAAGTCTCAAACCTTCCTTTCTCTGCTGCAGGTCAGCACACACCCACTGACGGGGAAGCTGGACGAAGGCTACCGGCTTTATCTCAGCCAGAGGTATGCAGAGCTCATGGAGAGGCTGAGCCAGCTTGGGTACAAAGCAGCACTTCACCCTCGCTTCACCGAATTCATCGTCAACACCTACAGCATCCTGATGTCGAGGCCTGGAGAGTACAGCCCCCAGGAGGTGGACTACAACAACCCAGACTTTCTGAGGAAGCTCATATTGACCTCAGCGCCGGAAAAACTTCAGAAGGACCTGCTGCTTGTGCTCACCTGCCTCTGCAGCATGGCAAAGAGGGACGGGAAGCCTCTCCTGTTCTGGTAGCACCCGTGTAATTTGGAGCGCAATAAATACCAGGGCATGATAAGTGTTGCGTGGCTGTGATTTGGTGCAAAACAATACAAATTTACAGATTGTGAGCTGCCTTTAAATCAAATATTTGCCTATTTATTTCCACTTTGCATGGCCACACTGAACAGCCTCCTTTATTTAAGCTATAATCACATATATCAATAATGGTTTCTTAATCAATTTCTAACTAAAATACATGTAGTAGTAATAGGTTTAAGGTAATCTTTATGATATGTCGTGCTGTCAGCGGTACACAATTTCACCACACAACAGACTAAACATATGACGTTTAAATAAAATAGAATTTAAAAAAAATAAGAAATCAAAGGCAAAAGAAATTGATAAAATGAAATTTAAAAAAATAAATAACAAAATAATATGAAATCACATAGTGCTGTTTAAGAAGACAATGGAAGCAGGGACAGGTGAGTTTTAAATCTGTTGGTTCCGCACCTGCACAGAGGTTATCTGCGACCAGATGTCAGTAAGTCCCTGTGTTACGATCCAGCCTCTAAGTTCAGCTGGATGCAACAAGAAACCAGACGGAAATGGTTCAGGCAAAGCAATTTATTGCTCAATAACATAAATGAACATAACAGAATGGTGACAATACAAAAGAAGACGGTGGATCTTGCTAAAAATCAAAGAACCAAACAAAGGCTAACAGAGTACCGAAATGCCAGCAAACTAAACAAAACTCTTCAGCCATGATTAAATCTAACAGCAACATCCACACATAAAAGAAACTAGTGCCTCAAAACACAGTATACGAACACACAGGACACGAGTAACTTCTTCACAAAGATAGACAGCTGCTAACGGGAGTCATAGTCTCCACTGAGACTCACCTGAAAACTCCCCACCAAGTTAGCAGCTGCCAACAGAAGTTACATTTCACAAAATACTAAACACACAGAGCGAGAGGCACCAGGACTGACTCTTCACATTAAATCCCAGCCAAGGTTGCTAGTGGCTTTTATAGCCAGGTGATTGCTGGGGTGGAGGAGGAGTGGTGGTGGTCCAATCAGGCGTCACCAGAGGCGGGGAGACCAAGGCTGAAAGTAGGCTGGGAGCTCCAGGGCAATCATCGCTGATGTTCGGCAGGTGTGGTTCTGGAGCACTATCTTCAGTTGGGCCTTCACAGGCCATCTTCCCACACAATGATCACAAGTCCATATGACCAAAACGGCACCACACCACGGACCGTAACATCCTACAACTTTTCAACTTGTATACTGGGTCAATGTAATTTTTCATCTGTGAAAGAGCACCTGGATGTTCTATATGACTCATGAGGTACCACATGAGTGAGTTTGTTATGGATCTAACCTGATAATCAGCTAGAAATTAAGGATGTGGGCAGTAATGCAGAGGTTCTGATCTTCAAACTAAAAAAAAAAAAAGCTGTTTATTTGACAAGTGATGGAGACAGCAGCAGAACCAGACACTTTTTATAGGCTGAGATCATTTCTCACATCGGAGAGGCACAACTTTTTGTTTTAGCAAATTGCTGGAGGCTAAACAGTCATTTTTTTTTTCGTAATGTATTTTCATCATTCATTAATGCAGGCAAGACTGCCATTTGAAGTGCATACATATGCAGTAAAATAAGCTTTTTTTTAAGTTGCTCTCACTTGATTAAAAGCCTAAATTGTTGCTGAAGTTGTGCTGTTTTAATAGCTGATAAAGCTCCTACACAGTTCAAATTACATGAGTGCACATAAGTACGCATAAGATTCTTATGTCAAAGGCCTTCTTGTTCTGCTCAGGACTCCCACCCACGTCACACAGTGTCAGTCCAGCCTTTTGTTTCTGTCTTTTGTGCTGCAGCTTCTGGCTCAGTCTTACATTGTTCAGCAGTTTTTTTCATCACTTGTTGGCAGAGTTCTTTAAAGTAGGTTTATCCCTGCTGCAACTAAATTAGATTAGATTGGATTCAGCTTTGTTGTCACTGCACAGAGCACAAGTACTAAGACAACGAAATGCAGCTTAACATCAAAGCAACAGCAAAGCACGTTATTTACAGTATGGTATGTCCAGTATGCTATAGTATAAACAGAATGAATAGAGCACTATGAACACATATGAATATATAGATATGGATTCAATATAAAAATAGATTATTTAAACCAACAGGTAGCGATAAATCTAACACCAACCCTAAATCACACACGCTTTGGCCAGTGAATGCATGTACAGATTCTTTCTTTGCATATAAAAAAAAACATTTTTATTCAATCTATACAGTTTCTACTGACAATATATATAGGATGCTTGAATTGGTACAAAGTCAGTGTAAAGATTTTCTGGTAGTCAGAACTACTTGCTCGGATTTGGCTGAATGGGAAGCTCTGTGCTGTTGAAATGCATCTGTATAGGAACAATAGAGGAGCAGTTCTGGATGTAGCTCCAGTTGCAGGTTGTTTCAAGGGGCCAGATTTTACTCTGCTAATGCCGTGGCCCGCTTGAATCCGCCCCCCGCGTGGAGAAACACTTTTTTATGATTATGGTTTCAAGATGGTTACATATGGATTGTAACTTCTGCAATGAATAAATTAATCACCAAAATATGACAATGCAAAACCAAGTGTCGATGAAAACACATTTTACTACTTTATTGTTGGTAGTTACATAAGCTGTCAGTAGGCTAAGGACAGCTGTTTTTTTTGTGTCAGTAACACAGACAGCAGATTTGCTCTGATTATTGTGGTTATTCATTTGGGGTATTTGGTTTTGGTGAGATTTTTCTTCACACCAGCACCTGCAAGGGCTCTTTAAAGGCTCAGTCACCCAAATTACTATTAAATAAATTGATGAGAATTAGTATTTGTAAGACGCAACTTTACAAATGATTATATCTGTGGAAATCATCGTAAATAAGACTGATTGCAAGCAACACAGTTTGAGAACTCGCGGCCCCTATTATAGTGTGATAAATGTGAGAATTAAACTTACTTATCCTAGAACACAGTGTCTCACAATTTATGTTCATTTTACTCTAAAATGGTGCAATTATCAAGTTAATAATTAAAGTTTTGTGGGCGGCACTAGATGTGTCCTAACAAAGCCTCTCCCATGCACCAATGCCGCCACTGCACACTTTCATTTTTGATTGTTGCTACAAATACAGTGATTTTAATTTGGACTGTGGGATCATAGACAGAAAGTGGAATGACCCTGTTGTACGGTACACTTAATACAATACGATCAGCCATTATTAATCCTGCATTGGAGACATTTGCATTGTTACAGCAGCAAATTACATTTAGAAATATCAGTGGGGAAAAAAATGAACGTAGTTATTATTTCAGATTGTCCAAATTCTTCTTCTAGATGTGAACACAATGATATTGCACATATCAGTGGTATTGCACTGAGTCTTTCATGGGTAGAAATACTGATAGAGAAGTAATAAAATTGTACAGATTTTATCTATACTGCACAGATTAGTAGAAAAAGACTGCTAGTGCACAGATTCTTGTATATGTAGAAAAACTGGTATTGCACAGAGTTTTAAATGTGCACAATATTCATAATGCACAGGTTTGAATGTGTTCATATTGCATTAAAATGAAGTATGTCAGTTTTTCAGTGTGCAGACTATTGGTTGTCTGAAGTAAACATTAATTTTACTCTGAAACTTGAACGTTCTGCAGCTATCAGGCTTAACATCTAAAGATATCTGAGCTCCTCTGCTGCTCCACAGTGGACTTTACTGTTGTCAAGTTGTTATCAATTAATATTTAATTTATCGGCAATAAATAAAGAAATGACGCTAAAACTGTATTAATCGATACAACATGAATAAAACGCAGACTGGACTCTGTTTAATGAGCTGGGAAAATTAATCAAACACTGGGTTACAGACGGCAGACATTATGGTCTGTCTGCAGGTGAGGTCACGTGTCAGCCGGGCCCCGGACACCATGACAACGACATGGGGGGCGTGGCTTCGTAACGCCACGAGCCACTGAGAGCACGGAGGGTTTATGTTCAAAAGGACTTTAGAGGGGCTGCTTTTCTGCCTTCAAGCTGCCAGTTTCCATTTAGAATGAGTAAAAACTAGTAGATAAATGTAATAATATCAACACGTTACCCGGCTGTTCGTTGTTTGGGCTCAGGAGACGGACTGCCCCAGTTTTGTTTGAGGTAGGGACCATCTGGGCTTCTTCTTTCACGTTAGCTGAGTGTTCTAAGCTAGCTGCGCGACATGACAGGTGACAGCTTTCATTAGAGATAATTAAAATGTGCTACGCCAAGGCTGTGGAAAGCCACCTACAAAGTGTGGGACTTTTCGTGGCCACATGGTAAAATAATACGCCGACGTTTAACGGTCGTACACGCGGACAAAAATGTAATTTCGAAAGTGTGAACAACCGAAACTGTTAGCATACCTACACACGGGCGGTGGGGAAATTCACCTAGAGACGCTTTACCTGTATGAGTGCAGACGCAGAGAGCTAACATTACTTCTCTGTGAAAAGATGAATGTTTCAGTTATAAAGGGCTGCTTTTAATGGGGTCTTTCTGTTTCTACCTTTCTTAAACAAGATGTTTAAACTTCCTAAATGTGATAGAAAAAGGAACTAAAACCAAACTCTGCGGTGTACATATTAGGGCACATTTAAGGTCAAGCCCAGCTCACAAATCTTTAAGTTTTAAACTGATAACTGCAGCATTTTCTAGTTATTTCTGTGTAGAGTTAATATAAAAAGTGACACACTGTGTTCTAGGTAAAGTGGATATTACACTCGTACAGACTAACTAGATCACTGGTTTTCAAACTGTGTTGCTTCAAAATAGTCAGATGATTTCCAGAGCTACAGTCATATGTACTGGTTTGTCTTTTTAAAAAAAAAAAAGGTCATGAATTTTATTTATTCGTATTATGGATGACCGGCTCTTTAAATAGTCAAGAATATAATATGTAGGAGCTGGTGAGGAGAAGTCATTCACCTATTAGGTGCTACAACACCCTAAATAAATGTCTTTAACCAATCAGAGCAAATCTGCTGCCTATGTAGCTGACAACATTTTAATCCAAAGCCTTATGATAACTTATTTAACTACACTATGACTAAAAAAGGTGTTTTCATTGTTACCTGTTACCATATTTAGTTTGTTATTTTTATGATTTGGAAGCATCAACTAATGATTATTTTGTAATTAATCAGTTGATTGCTTTGTCAATTAACTCATTAGTTGTTTGGTCTATGAAATGTCCAAAAAAAAAATAAAGTGAAAATGTCAGTCACAATTTCGCACAGACCAAGAGGACTTCCTTGTTTAGCTACAACCTAAAAACAGTCAGTATACTTTCATAGAGGAGTTAAGAAATCCGGAAATATTCCTGTTTCAGGAGCAAAGTTTGAGGAATTCTGATTTTTAAATTTTTTTTTTTATTTATTAAGAAATTAAAATCACTCAAACAGAGTATTCAGTTATCAAAACAGTTGCCATTGAATCAAATAGTTGACAACTAATTGATTAGCTGTTGTAGTATCCATACACACAGTAACGTCACTGCTGCAAACATCCTGCTGTGAGACTGAAACGGAAAAGTCCACATAGTAAAATACACAACACCAGAAAACTATCTTGAATTTAGATAAAGAAATCAAACTCAGACAAACACTCAAATAGCGTCCCATTGTTTTTGATGTACGTGACTATAACATGAGATTTTTTTGAGGTCTTGTGGTCAGAACTTTTGAAATCCTTACTTACTTATGAAACTACTTCTAAAAAAATTCGGGGCTATAGCCTCAGATACCACTGCCCTCGAGGGTGCATTTCCTCCCTAAGAAAAACGGAAAAGAAGCAGAGGACATGTACTTTTGACAGAAAGCTGTAACAATACAGACTCATGCGAAAGAGGAACAAATTGGTCTGTAAAAATTCCCCACAATGCAGAAAGTGAAATGTTCGATGCTCAACATTTTTCTAAAGGAGGACTTGCTCAATTTGTCCAACTTAATGTTGAAACAAAGCCTACCCCCACTCGTAGGAGCGTGAAAGGACTGCTCCACAGTAATACAGTGTTTACAGTATGGTGTGAATTTTCACTATGAAATATGCAGTGTTGTAACACCGCCTACGTGCCATTTGTTCACCAGAAGGCAAAGAAAAAAAAAACCCCAGCATCCTGAATGACATTTGCTGCTTTCTGGAGAGCATCTAGACTGAAGTCATGTCATTGTATCGTATGTTGTGCTTGTGTAATATCTCAGTTATTATTTTCAAATGACAACGTGGCAGTAGTAGATTAGAAAAACGTTTGTAGTGCATTGTACTGTTGGCACACCCATTGACTTTAGACTGTATTTTTTGTCTGTAAATACACACAGAGGTGTGGTGTTCAGGCAGACTTTTTGTTTCAGCCTCATTTTGCCAGTGGTTACCAACACTGTGCAGATGGGGACAGCTGGATTACAGGCTGTTTACACCATGTTTTTCTCTTTAAAAGTGATCATAATGCATTGCATAAGCGTGCAGTAAGCCGGTCTGATGTTCCCTCTGAACTTGACTGTACTGAATTCATGCCAGTACAGCTGTCTGTTGCTTATGTTTTCCACCACGGCATGTTCGGGCATGAGCTCAAAAGACAGTTATTCCGCAGAGCCCACAGTGTAAATGTTGACATGGGCGGCAACGACAGAGCCATTTTCATGACATTTTGTTTTCTTTCTCCTGTTCCAGTGTCCAGCAGAGCCCATGAGGGAGAGACTTTGCAGAGGAATGAGGCCAGAACAGGAAATCCCCCGATGTTGTTCGTCCTGATTGTTCTTTAGAGACGGTGCAGAGGCATGGCCCTGCAGGCATCTCCCTTTCCTAATGGGTTTGTTGCAGGTGTCCACGCTGTGGGATGGGCCTTCATCCTGCCGTGTTTCTGGTTTCTGGATCGCCTCATTGCTGTGTGCAAGTCCACCACCTTGGAGCGAACCCAGCGACTGGAGCAAGAGTGCTACCTACACCCACTCAAAGTCTTCTTCGGCTCCATTGTTTTCTTCATTCTGTTTGTCGCTACTGCTCCTTTGGCTTTCCTTGGCTTTCTGCTCTGGGCGCCTCTTCAGGCCTGCCGCCGGCCGTTTTACTACCACAGAGAGCCGCCGTCTTCGCCGGAGAACGAGACACACAGAGGCTTTGAATTGGTAGGAAAGGCGTCATTTGGCTTCGCCACCGCTAACCTGTGTCTGCTGCCTGACAGCCTGGCTCGCTTCAACAACCTTGGCCACACTCAGCACAGGGCATCCGCCATCGGCCAGCGCATTGTGCAGGGTGTGTGTCGACCTCATATCCGCATCTTTGTCGACTCCCCCAGCAGCTGCGGCACCCTCAGCCCCTCCAGCAGCTTCCTCCCCACAGTTAACTCAGTGACATACGGGGCAACAGACAGACAGGTACAACCCACGGTTAGTCAGCCTTCTGACACAGCTGTTCCGATGTCAAAGTCCAACAGTCATGTAGTTTGTGTGCCCTGTGATGATACAGAAGAATCGCCAACTGAGTCGCCTCCCCCTCTCCTCAATTCTAACCAGAACTCTAACCAGCAGGGCCGATCGGGTCATCGGAGTGCTCCCCGAGCTCTGCTGTCTCAGGGTCTCCGGCAGCAGGACGACGTGCCCTGGGAGGTGTCGTCACTGTTTCCCTCCAACATTGACATTCTGTGCCTAGAAGAGGTGTTTGATAAGAGGGCAGCACAGAAGCTCACCGATGCACTAAAACCCGTGTATGGACACATACTGTATGACATTGGTGTGTACGCCTGCCAGCCGCCGTGCGGATGCTCCTCCTTTAAGTTCTTCAACAGTGGCCTCTTCCTAGCCAGCCGATTCCCCGTGCTTGAGGCCCAGTACCACTGCTTTCCCAACAGCCGCGGGGAAGACGCACTGGCTGCCAAGGGCCTCCTCTCTGCTAAGGTGACTTACCTAAACTCCTGATTTTTGTCACTATTTCTTGCCTTGAATGTTTGAGGCTCACTGTACAAAATGATGGATGTTTAGAGTTTGAAGACTGTTTTCTAGATTACATACTGAGTGCGGAAAGTTCACCTTCAATGTGAGTTTAAGGCTTGAATTTGGACATCGCAATTAGTTTGAAAGCCAATCGTGGTCCTGATGAGAAACGCTGCCTTGCTTAAACTTAGATTCTAGACTTTTCAATGACAGAGAGACAGCTTAGATTTTTGTCATTTATTTTTGTTGTTGTTGTTGTTTTAAATTTCAACCAGGTAATTGAGATTTTTCATTAAAAACAAAACAAGACACAAAATACACTGCAAAGGATTTTTATAGAACAGTGAGTGAAGCTAGATGAGATCCCTTATATCATCTAAAAACACACATTTTGCTCCTGACACATGTTTTTACTCACTGTGGGCTCAATTTAAATTTCTGAAACTTTATGGAAACAGCACAACCATGGCTGGAGGGAGAGAGACTTAGATACTGTCCTATGTGTAGTATAGCAAAAAAAAACACTGAACAAAAAAGATGAATTTTTGTTATATGACGCAATTGCAGCTGAGTCAATCATTGCTTTTCAGTTACACTCAGAAGTGCAGAATTCTTAGTTTTTTACAGTCTGTGGTGTGAGCGGGTCTTTATTACCCTTTTTTTTCCAATGAGACCTGTAAAACAAACTGATTTTAATAAAATGTCTTGATTTTAGATAATTTAGTGAATTTTCTGACAAAACTGTACGTCACACTTGATCCGAAAAGTTAAAAATCTCCTAATTTTTTAGTTTTTTTTTTTACAGTTTCTTGCTCTGATTAATGATTTAATGTTGGAGATTGTTCAAAGATAATATGAAGATAATATTATTATATTTAGAATCCACCAGTGTGTTTTAAAGGGTAAAGCAGTCAGCGCTTGTTGTCCTCATTGTGTTGCAGGATTCATATTGAATCTAAAGAGGTGTTAAAGTATAAGGTTTGATCAGTTCAACTTCATACAACTTGTTTTCAGACATTATTTCAGGTTTCGGTTTGGTTCTTTCTTGTTTCGTTTTTCATTTTGTGTGTTTTTATTTCACTTTTGCGTTCACGATGGTGTGAACGTCTGAAATAAATCTAAAAATAAACATGACTAATACTCTAATGTGATGCAGTGATTGTTTTAAAACTCTCAGGTGCTGATCGGACAGAATCAGAAACGGCAGCGAGTCGTCGGCTACTTCAACTGCACACACCTTCACGCACCGGAGGGCAAGTGACAGTTGCAGATTTACTCGGATAATCTCAACATTTTTCATTTTCTCACAAGAAAACAAAGATAAGTCGGGGTTGTGACAGCTTGTCTGTGCTCTCTCGTCAGGTGAGGGGGTCGTTCGCTGTGAGCAGCTGAACATGGTAACCAAGTGGATCGGCGATTTTCAAGCTGCCAACAGACGGCCCGATGAGGACGTCGTCTTCGATGTGCTCTGTGGCGATTTCAACTTCGACAACTGCTCACCTGGTGTGTCTGTGTCTCGTGCAATTTCTTCTTATTTTTCTAACAGCATCTTCATCATAATATTTTGTTTTGCATGTTTTCCTGTTTATCTAGATGACAATCTGGAGCAGAATCACTGCCTGTTTGAGGAATACAGAGATCCTTGCAGAGCAGGACCTGGAAAAGAGAAGCCTTGGGTCATTGGTGAGTACTATTAAAACCCAGGAAATTGTAATAAACACTTCATATGTACAATATACAGCAAACATTGACAGTTCATTGGGTGTTGCTATGGTTTGCCTCTACAGGTACACTGCTGGAGCAGCCCACACTGTATGACGATGACGTAAACACTCCAGAAAATTTACAAAGGTACTTGTAGCTTTGCTGTACTTAGCACAGCGAAATTAAAGCTCCTTTCAGACTTTACTCTTTTCTATTAATCTGACAGCATCTAAAGATGTTGTCTGCTCACTTTTCTGTAAAAGTCACGACGGAAAGCACAAGCGATGTGCTTCAGATTTTATATATTGAAAGATTTTTCCATGTTTCTGCAACAATATTGATCAGAAAACATCACAGTTTGCTGCCAAGATCACACAACATCTTTCTCATTCGCTTTGTTCTGCAATTTTACATCTTTTACAAACTGAAATTTCCATAAAAATAAAACTTTACGGTGATGAAACAAGAGTCTGTAACAGAT